TGCTTTAAGTTTTTAAAGAATTAATTACCCATCTCAGTGTGCTATTATTTTATAAAAAGAGTGAAAATATAATTTTGATGAATAAATAAAGTACATTATTTTTTGTTTGCTTTGAAGCAGGTTGTATTAATATAAAAAAATTGTGAGAGGAGGTGTGAGAGGAGGCTGTATTTTTTTTAAAGAACTAATTATCCATCATAATCTTGTTAAAAGGACAATTCATAATATTTGAGTTAAATATATATTTTAATATGATATTCAATTCCGTTATTAAAAATAGCCTAATCAATAAATGTTATTTAATTAAGGTTAGCAATAAAAATTAGAATTCTGAATTATTTCACATATATTTTGATTCGTTATATGAAATGTACAAAAAATCATTATAACTTTTTGACTTGTTTATTTTTAAATAAAATAGTAATATGGATTATTATTTTGGAATAAAAGAGTATTTTATATATGATTTTTTGCTAAAACAATTATATACATAATAAATATAAATAATTAATATTGAGCATTAATTTTGTATAATTGGAGAGGATATAAAACTTGTACTGTAGTTGTCGAATACCTGCTGTTCTACTAATAATGTAATAATTGTAAAAATAATTCACACATGAGATTCTCTCATGATTGTCTGCCTCCATTTTTATTCCTTTGCGCCATTTTTTACTCCATGGGCAATTCTAAAAATCTCTTTTAACTTTTTAAATTATTACACTATATAAGTGTAACAATGTGTCATTTCATGAGAATCTTAATCTTACTTTGAATACCTTACTAAAGCATATAATATATTCCTTTTCATATAGTAACTTTGTTTCACTTATAATGTAATATTAACAAGTAGAGAAGAGAAGGACTGGACGGATGGAAAGCTTTTTCACTGGCCCAATATAAGACTTGACAGGGAATTAAGCTCTTCAAGACCTCTTGCATGATATCATATGGAGGAGGACAGAGGAATGGGGTTCAGCACCCAATCTCATCTTTTCTCATAGCCATTCCAAGTAGTATAAAACCAGAATTACTCTCTACATACGAAACCATTAGGTACATTTGAACCTACGAATTGCCCCTACAGCGCTTTGCTAACTCGAAGCGCCTCTTTCGACCATCCCATTACTCCAACCGGACCGGGGTAGGTATGATTGCAAACAGTGGCACACCCAGAATATGGGGCTAGAAATTGCAGAGGTGACCTCTCTTTTTTCCTAAGCCTAAGGCTCCCTGCCGGTTCTTGGAACGACGCGTGCCAGGCTGGGCCTAGGATATTGATCTGTAAAGTTGTTGGACAGCTTTAAACAAATTATAATTTATTGTTTTTATTGCAGTTTTAGTGTAATAATACATTTGTTACACTATGATTTAAATAAAAACCTTTAAAATATCAACTTAACACTATTTTTATAAATATTTTTCACAAAATATCGTTTTCGGAAATAATTTTTTACAATCACCATTTTGGGAAAATGCCTTAACAGTTAACATGACATGAAATTCACTTAATGGTAAAATAAATAGATCAATAAAGTAGAGTCCCTTAATGAGTGAAACACTCCGACATATACCTGGACTAAATGATTTTCTATATAATATTAATATATTTCTTCAAGTTAATATGTGAGTTTTCCTATGAGATTTATTAGTAAATATTAATTAACATTAACATTAATATTAGTATTAATTTTCAAATATATCTAAGATATTTATTTATTTGTTTTTGAAAAGATTTAATTATTCTTTTTTATTCTTTAAGAAGCCTAATTCCGAATAATATGATATGCTACACGATAGGGGTCATATGATCGAGTAAATTTGAATTCGAGACCTCTCACTCTCCACACTAACGAGAAAACCAAGCAAATCACTTTAAGATATTTATTTTTTCATTATTGTTATCTTTTTTTAAAAAAAAAATCATATTAATTAATTGAAATGAATAATCATATTATATTTTGATTATTTCAGATAAGCATATTGCTTAAATTTATTAATTAAGATGGATAATTACATTAATTTTATTTTATAGATAATCTATATTAATTAAATTAATTATAATAGTTTATCATATTAATTTAATAATTTTATATAAATCAAATATTATAATTTTAACCACTTTTTTTTATATGTGAAACTCAACGGAGTGGAATAACATTATAGGCAACACAGTAGAGGTCAGGGGGTAACCATCCCCTTTGAATGATATTCACCAAATTGATAATAATTTTTGTGGTGTAAAAGATTCGAACTCGATACCCCTCACCAATCTGACCAGACCTGATTCGCGATTAATCAAATATTATTTATATTTTTGAATTAAAACATTTTAATTAACCATGATTTCTTAAAATAAGCAAATTAGAATTTCTTTTCCCATTAAAAATTGAATTGGACTTTGCATTAATTTTGAAAAATTTTTCTCACGTAAACAACCTCAAATCCAGAAAAGTTAAGTTCAATTGAATAATATATGCATTGAAAGTAAATAAAAAAATTATTCTAATAAATAGATCCAATAAATTTTACTTAATATTTTATACAAGTAATAAAATAATCATGCAAAGTGCATTTTGATGTTGTGAGAAACTTTGGATTCTGACCATATCCATCATTGATGATGAAATTTTTATCAATTTGGTTTTAATTATTAATAAAAAGAATAATATTACTTTGGTTCCCATAAATAAAAAGAATCTTTTTCTAATAATAAAGAATAACCTAAAAAAAAAAAAAAAGCAAGACATATGCCACCTATATTGGCATATACAATGTTGGAGAGTTGGCTTGGCACGTGTAAAAGCCATACGAAATTAAACAGGAAAAGGTGACCTAAAAAAATGTCAAAACGTACAAAAAATGATCCTTTGAAATGGAACCAAAGCAGAGAAAGAAAAGTTCCTTTGGATTTTGAAACAGCAGAGAACTTCAATTGGCTAACTCCAACCATTCCCTCCAGCTCATTCAAACCCATTCTTTCATTTAAATACGAATGATCCAGCCAAAGAATCTCAACTTTTTGTTGGCCTTGCGGGCCATCCTACAAGATAAATACACCAGATTTTTTTTTAAATATATAAAAATGCGGTCCACCTCACCCAACCAGTTCTACTATGGCGAGCCGGAACCGCTTCTCTCTTGGCCTTGCCGCCTTGGGGATTGGACTTTTATTTTTCTTTTGTTTTTTGTGGTTCAAAGCTTCAATCGCGGCCAAAGGTCGCCTGCCATTGCACTCCGTTAAACGTCATTTTTCGCATTGACGAATGATGACCCTTCGGTGCACCGCTTGGACCAGTTTGTTTGGGTAAAAGGTTGCATGAACCAACTTCAAAGACATCAAAAAGTGCTCTCATCTTATTTATTTGGCCCTAATTGTAAATTAGGGGCCAAATCATAATCCTAAATGTAATTTTGTTGCAAATACTCAATCCCAAATAAACAGTGGCGGAATTGAATGCTAAAGGGACAAAAAATATTTTTCGAAAAATGCTGGGGGACAAAATAAAAAAAAAAATCGTTAATTTTGAGATAAGATAGATTGAATTTACCATTTTAGGTTAACAAAAATTTTTGGCAACCCTGGCTTCTCTTCTCCGCGGTTGCATATACATGCCTTTTGATTTTTTTTTTTTTTAAATTGATTGGGAGATTGGACCACGCTTGAATTTTTTATGTATTGAGAGATTCAAAAAATAATAATGTGGTTACACTATAAGGGTAATTCTTTTCTATATTCACTAAATTGCTGAAAATATTTGCGGTCGAAAGGGCTCGGATTCCAGACCTTCCACTCCTCACATTAGTAAAAAAACTAATCAAATTGCACCTAATTAAATATGTAGCCTTGATTTGATCTCACACAATTTAAGAAAAATAGTTAATATTTTATATTTTTTTATTTTTTCCTATATGCCATAGTATTAATAATTCATCAACTAATAAAAATTTAATTATAATATTGCAATATGACGTTTTATAATATAGATATAATTAACTTTTGACTTTATTGAGCTAGTTTCTAAATTCTAATCTATTCATGGGCTAATGATATAAGTTTGAGTTCGGACTTATTTATTAAATGAAATTGAAAAGTTGACTCAATAAATTTATTAAATGAGTTTGATGGAGCTTTTAACGGACCAGTATTTCACCCCGAACTGAGCTCATTGTCACCACTGCTAGTATGGTTACAATACAATTAAAATGATGATTGGTTATACATGCTTTGTGTTTTTTTTTTTTATAAATTAATTAGTTTTTTATTATTAAAATATTAAAAGTAACATAGTATTTCAAAAATGTTACTGTTACTAAGTGGGCATGAGCAGTGTGAACACACATTTCAACAAAACACTGGTTATACATAGAGTGGGAAATGCTTGAAATATGTAATACGACATCACCCCCATGGTGACGGCCCAGTGGTAAATACTGTTCAATTCATACGTTGGTTATATTCCATGACGTATAAATATTGACTTTATATCTAACAGTCGTTTTTAGTGTGTAAAAGAAAAGTAATCCACCAAATTAATTTAATAAAGTAGGTCCATTTAAATTAAAAAGAAAAACAAGAAAAACATTAAATGATAAATAAAGGTCCATATACTAAGAATAGATAGTGTTGTTTCACACAATTAAAACTTAAAAGGACAATCAGTTTATATATGCTTGAAATTTTTTCAATTAATTAGTCTTTTATTATCACTATTTGGTTGACAAACTAAACTCTACAATTGTCAAATTTACTTCTCCCTACTAGTTTGATGGAACTTGGAAACTTCCAAAATGCACATAATAATACGCTACTGAAAGCTCCACCGAAACTTTCCCCTCCACTGTCCCAGAAAAAGTCATTTTCATTCCGACGAATAATCAGGATTCAGTTATGCCAATGTGGAAGACACCAATTGGCCAAACCTTATTGAAAACAAACACCTTACCGTATTTAATCAACCCCGCCCATATCATAGACTCTTCTCAGTCCAAGTTCTGAACCGGTATTTTTCACTTCTAGAAGAGCGCGGCACGCAGCCCTAGGTCTCTGTTGCTCTCCACACGCCTCTCTCTCTCCCTCTCTCTTAAATCATTTGCAGAAACGGCCATGGAATTTTGTTATTAGCTCAATTATTTCTCTCTTATCTCTCTTCGCAACCTCCTTTCTCTGTTTGTTGACAAATCCTTATCTACAGGTTTTGTGTTTTTTTTATGTAAAATCGTCATGTATTTAACTGGTTCAGCTTCAGCCTCTTCGCTCCTCAGAGCGTCTAGGGCACGACTTTCCTCCTCTCTTTCTTCTTCTACCTCCAGAACGTTCTCTCTATCTTCTCCTGTTCCTCCGCCTTCTTTGGCCAACACTATTCAACATCGGTCTCTCAGCTTCACCGCTGCTGTTCGGTCTTTCCGGTGCTCTGTTCCTCGCTGGAGTCACGGTGTCGATTGGCGGTCTCCGGTTAGTCTCCGGTCTCAGATCAGATCCGCCGCTCCCGTGATCGAACAATTTCAGCGAAAGATCGCTACTATGGGTATAGTGATAGTGAAACCGACATTGATTTCCTATATTTTTGGAGTGTTTGGGTGTTGTTCATTTTATATTTTTCGCATTGATTTATTTGTCTTTTTAATCTGTTAATCCTTGTTTTGGTTCCTGTAAGTCCGTTTTTGGTTGTTTCCAATAATCGCGAGTTGGTGAAAGAAGAATAATTAGAAAAGATGTTTTGCTGTCTGTTTGTGATTGGAAAATGGAAATGGGTCATTTTTTGACTGTGTCGGCCAAATGTTTTAGTTTCCTTTACTGTTAGAATGTGAGATTTGAAAGCCAAAATTTTTATTTCTTTTACGATTTATGGTTGATTTATTTTCAGTCTAATCTGCCTATCTATGTTTCTTAGAATATAAAATACCTTTTTTAACAAGTTCAAATATTCTATTGTACTTAAAAGTTATACTGTTCCTTTTACTTCAGAGTTGGTTTTAGTAGGGTATAATTTTTTATTTTTATTTTTTTCATCTGTTGTATTTCAGCTGCGGAACATCCATTTAAGGGGATCGTCACAGCTCTTCCCAAGCCCGGTGGTGGTGAATTTGGGAAATTCTATAGTCTGCCTGCTCTAAATGATCCAAGGATTGGTAAGTCTATATATCATTTTGCAGTAATTGAAATATATGCTCATTAATATAGGTATGCATTTACGGTAGTGACAGTTACTCAATGGCTAATTTGACCATAATAATTATCAAGACAGCATTTAAACCATCTGTCAATGAGAAATGATTGTTTATTTTGACTGCTGCTCTAACAATTTGCATTTCCTTTTTTTTTTTTTTTTTTTTTTCTAAATGATCCAATGGATTGGTAAGTCCTTATATCATTTTGCAGTAATTGAAATATATGCTTCATTAATATAGGTATGCATTACGGTAGTGACAGTTACTCAATGGCTAATTTGACCATAATAATTATCAAGACAGCATTTAAACCATCTGTCGAATGAAAATGATTGTTTATGTTTGACTGCTGCTCTAACATTTGCATTTCCTTTTTTTTTTTTTTTTTTTTTCCGTTAACAGATAAAACTGCCTTAATTCTTATCAGAAATCCTTCTTGTTAATCTGCATTTCGTAATTTGAACAACTTCCAAAGTTACTAAAGAGGAATGTTGAGAAGATTAATTGATTTTTTTTTTTTTTTTTTTTTTCCGTTAACAGATAAACTGCCTTATTCTATCAGAATCCTTCTTGAATCTGCAATTCGTAATTGTGACAACTTCCAAGTTACTAAAGAGGATGTTGAGAAGATTATTGATTGGGAAAATACATCTCCAAAACAAGTTGAAATTCCTTTCAAGCCTGCTCGTGTTCTCTTACAGGTATCTCATAATGCTGGCAATTGTTGTGATGGTGATAAGAATATTATTAAGTTTCAATTTGTCTCTTGTGTTACCAGGATTTTACTGGTGTACCAGCTGTTGTGGACCTAGCTTCTATGCGGGATGCCATGAGTAAGCTTGGTGGTGATTCCAACAAGATCAATCCTTTGGTAAGTTTTGTATTTTAATGCATATCTGTACAGAAGCACTTGGATTTATCATTCAGTTCTCCCTTTGAAACTGGTGGTGCATCTTTTTTTTCTTTGGTTCCTCACACAGTATCATGCAGTTGTTATGGTAACTTATTACGGTGACTTATTACAACCACGCTGATTTTTGTATTAGAATCACACGAATTTATGCATGTTCATGTTTTCATCTGATAAGCTTCTACAAGAATAAGAGGAATGCCAATTCATCTTCAACATTTTGCTTGATCATGGATGCGTACTTTTATCAATACCATTGGAGTCATGATTCCAATACACTTTGCTTCCGGATATGAAACTATTTGATGAATATGATGTTATGCAGCCCTTGTCATTTTTATTTATGATTTTTTTGACCATATTAGGAAATTACTTGGTTTGCATGCAGGTTCCTGTAGATCTGGTCATTGATCACTCGGTTCAAGTTGACGTGGCAAGATCAGAAAATGCTGTGCAAGCAAATATGGAGCTTGAATTTCAGCGCAACAAGGAGAGATTTGCCTTTCTTAAATGGGGTTCATCTGCTTTCCATAATATGCTTGTAGTTCCTCCTGGTTCTGGTATTGTGCACCAGGTATGATTTGGAACAGCAGGTGCTGCATTGTAATGTTTCATGATTTGTGATTTGGCCTATTGTACTTTCTGCTTTCTGTTGCATTCTTTCAGCAACATGTTGACAGTGTTCCATTTCATATTTTCTCTACCTTTAAAGTAAAGGGTTATTTTTAGGGGACAATTACTACTTGTTAGTTTCCTTTATTTTCTTGGATATGGCATGGTATGGAATAATGTGCTCAAATTTCAGGTGAATCTTGAATATCTTGGAAGAGTTGTTTTCAACACTGAGGGCATTCTCTACCCTGATAGTGTGGTGGGAACTGATTCCCATACAACCATGATTGATGGGTTAGGAGTTGCTGGCTGGGGAGTTGGAGGTATTGAAGCAGAAGCTACGATGCTTGGCCAGGTAATTCATGCAAATATGCTATAGAATAATGGAATACAATTATCTTCTGTTCCTTAGTGAGCTTCAAACTGGTTTAACCAAATGGGAACTTCATTTTAATGCATGCTTCTGGTGTATACAAGATGATAGGATTAAGAAGTGAATTGAAATCCTAGGAATTTATGTTGTTTATTGCACATTGTTTCAACTCCTAAGGTATCTGGATGCTCATGCTTCTGTAATAATGTCTATCTGTACTATGTGTTTGCAGTACATTACCAAGTACATTTCTTTTCCTGTAGTGCTTGAGAGCATCCACATTCTTTTTCCATTTACAAATCATTTACAGACTTTAGGACATTGCATACGCTGTTCAGCATGCCATCCATTTAAATTTTTTCATGCATTCTTTTAGTCTTTCCTTGCACTCTTGTTTCATACTTTCTGCTCATGTGCTCTTGAGTTAATCTACTTCTGCATGGAAAAGGAAAACCCTTTCAACTCTACATGTCAGTATCTTTCTGTCGAACACGCTCATTGTGCTGATCTTTTATTACCAGAATAAAATCATTTTAGCTTTGTTCTTTATGTTTGCTTTGCAAAGTTATTAATCATTTCAATTTGCAGCCCATGAGCATGGTGTTGCCTGGTGTTGTTGGGTTCAAGCTATCTGGAAAATTACGCAATGGCGTAACAGCTACTGACTTAGTTTTGACTGTGACACAAATGCTGAGGAAGCATGGTGTTGTTGGCAAATTTGTCGAGTTTTATGGTAAATAGGTTCTCATGGTCCTTAATTGAATTATTTTCCAATCCGTTAGGTCAAGTTTTTCATGCATTGATTCCTTGCAGGGGATGGTATGGGTGAGCTATCATTAGCTGACAGGGCCACCATAGCTAACATGTCTCCTGAGTATGGTGCGACCATGGGATTCTTCCCTGTTGATCATGTTACTTTACAATATCTAAAATTGACTGGAAGGAGTGATGAAACTGTGAGTATCTCACACTTATGATATATGGTTGCTTGCTGCTGGAAGGTTAAAATGCTGGGTGATTTTGGTTGCTTTTAAATTTTGTTTGTTTAGGTGGCAATGATAGAAGCATATCTTCGTGCAAATAAAATGTTTGTTGATTATAATGAGGTAAACTTCTCTTTGTTTTTCCCCTGCTGTTCTTTTTAAGCATTTGATTCAAGCTGCAAAATTGTCTGACTGTGATTGAACTTTTCCCCCATCAATTTTCAGCCTCAACAAGAAAGAGTATATTCGTCATATTTACAATTGAATCTTGCAGATGTTGAGCCCTGTATATCTGGACCAAAGAGGTATGCGCTTTCTACTCGTGTAAAGACATTCGTTATTGCTGGCTAATATCTATGCTAATGCGATGCAGTGTTTACTTCCATCTTGTTTCTAAGTTCTCGCAATATGTACAATTCTAACCATCGTTCTCCACAGACCACATGATCGGGTTCCTTTGAAAGAAATGAAGGCTGATTGGCATTCTTGTCTTAACAACAAAGTTGGATTCAAGGTCAGTTATAATATTAAACTCTTCAATTTTCTTGCATTTTTACAGCTGAATTCTTGACCGTGAACTTCGTTTTTAATTAAAAGTTTGGTGCTTTAATTGTTATAGTCTAAAATTCCTTTTTTCTGGATAAGCTGAATGAAATAGATTCTGCAATTTCATAGCCATTTTTTGTTTATGGAATTTATCTGTTAAATTGAATCAAGCACATTTGTGGTGTGCAAAGATTAGGCATCTGCACTTGAGTTGGCAATTTTAGATTTTGGTGGATCCTCCTCTCTAACTGTATAGAGGATATGATGGTCTTGTGTAGAGTTTAGATATCTGGTTCATTTATGGAGTTTGGAATCTGTTGTTTGCTGCATCGAATTTGTTGTTTTTAAATTAAATTTGGCAGAGTCCTGAGTATGGACCATGTGGCTTGCTTATGGGAAAACTAGCTTGACCTAATTTGATTTGCTGTGATAAAAAATATGGGAAAGTCTTGAATTCAAATAATTGGTGTCATTTTCATCTTTTTCTCAATGGACTGTCAAATTTGAATTTCCATCATCGTTTCCGGGCGCAAGTTTTACTCTGGCTGCACAAAGACGACAATCCTGCCACTGCCGCAATATGATGTTGGCATCATAACAGTTTCTAATGTTAACAAGTGATCGCACTGCCTTTTATTTTCCACCAGTGTCGTCAATATCATCATTGGACCAGCTCCTCCATCAGTCTTTTGACTGCATTTGCCGTAATCTTTGTATTTGCAAAAGCTTATCTGGCTCACCCATGTTCTTTAAGTTCTCTATCAATCAGGCTATGTGACATGGTGCTTAAGTTTGGTGGACTTTTAGTGTCTTGTGTTGCAGTGGTGCAGGTGTATTTTGAAGTTGTATTTACAGTTTTAGACAGGCATGATATATTGCATTGTTTTCAACTGGGATATTGAATCTTTTAAAAGTGTTCCTTAACTATGTGAGATAAACCGTTTTAAGTACAATTTTTATTCTTAATTCCATGCATTGTTTTCATTTGGTTCAGTTTCCAATAGATTATGTACTGCTCCTCCTAAGTTCTTCCTGATGATGCAGGGCTTTGCTGTACCAAATGAGTCACAGGACAAAGTGGCAAAGTTTTCATTCCATGGGCAGCCAGCAGAGCTGAAGCACGGTAGTGTTGTGATTGCAGCAATCACAAGTTGCACAAATACATCAAATCCCAGTGTCATGCTTGGGGCAGGTCTTGTTGCAAAGAAGGCTTGCGAGCTTGGTCTACAGGTAAGAAACATTGAGATTTGTTATCTTTCTGCTTGTTACTTTTGTATGAATTTAAGAATAATTGTACCCCTGCCCATAATGGGTTAAGTAGACTGACAATATCAATGAATGTTAACATTAATGTTCTCTTCAACTGCTTACTCATAGTTGTGTTAATGATCCTTCACAGGTCAAGCCATGGATAAAGACCAGTCTTGCCCCTGGCTCTGGAGTTGTCACTAAATATCTACTCCAGAGGTATTCCTGATGCTTTAGTTTATTTTTTAAGTTGTAATTTTTTTGTGTTTATCTATAGTCATAAACTAAAATATTGTTATGAATGGTTCAGTGGACTGCAAGAATATTTGAATCAACAAGGCTTCCATATTGTTGGATATGGTTGCACAACATGCATTGGGAATTCTGGAGAATTGGATGAAACAGTTGCTTCTGCTATTTCAGACAATGGTAACCATTGGAACCCTATAAGTGATGAGTGTTTTTATGTCAAATGGTGATCCGTAATGGTATAATGGTCATTATACCATTATTCCCCCCCCCCCCCCCCCTCTCTCTCTCTCTCTCTTTCTTTTTACCTGCTCATTTAAACAAATGATGTCACTGTACAGCTCAGGTAGCTTAAGCTTTAGATCTTAGTTCTGCTCATGAATTCTCGTCTTGTTCTTAGACATTATTGCCGCTGCTGTGCTTTCTGGTAACCGGAATTTTGAGGGTCGTGTTCACCCCTTGACAAGAGCAAACTATCTTGCTTCCCCTCCTTTGGTGGTCGCATATGCTCTTGCTGGCACGGTATGTATGCTCTTTAATTTTTCATCCAAGTATCTAATGTTCTCACATGATTTAATGCTTGTTAAGTATATTCTGTTTGAGAACCTATACTGACAATTATTGAAGATCTTTATATCCTAGCCTAAGTTTAAATCATGCGCTAACTTTATGAGGATGATTCTGCCTAATGATTGCCATATGAGGATTTGAATATATTCATTGCATTGGAAAAATGTTTATGTTGTTATAATTGAGCTATTGCATCAACATGTGTTAACATGAAATTAGTGTCCCAGGTTGACATCGACTTTGATAAGGAGCCTATTGGAATTGGGAAAGATGGTAAGAATGTCTATTTCAAGGATATCTGGCCAACTACAGAAGAAATTGCAGAGGTAGGCAATCATAAAGTGTTCTCCCTTAGTCTGGTTTTCTGACCTTTTATTAAATGTATGAAATGAATTGACTTGGGATGGACTACTGTGCAGACTGTTCAATCTAGTGTGTTGCCTGAGATGTTCAAAAGTACTTATGAGGCTATCACAAAGGGCAATCCCATGTGGAATCAGCTGACAGTACCAGCTAAAACTTCATACTCATGGGACCCTAACTCTACCTACATCCATGAGCCCCCATACTTCAAGAATATGACCCTCAATCCTCCTGGTGCACATGGAGTGAAGGATGCCTACTGTTTGCTGAATTTCGGTGATAGCATCACTACAGATCACATTTCTCCAGCAGGAAGCATCCACAAGGACAGTCCTGCTGCTAAGTTCCTCCTTGACCGAGGAGTAGATCGCAAGGACTTCAACTCCTATGGTAGTCGACGTGGGAATGATGAAGTGATGGCTAGGGGAACTTTTGCTAATATTCGCATTGTTAACAAACTTTTGAATGGGGAAGTGGGACCAAAGACAATTCACATTCCCACAGGAGAAAAACTCTATGTGTTTGATGCAGCAATGGTAAGTCTCTTGATATTAGATCCTTTACATTTTCCCCATCCTTACTCCTCCTTTACCAAAATTATAACTCTTGGAGAATAATTAATTTTTGTAGTTTACCTAGTTCCCATTTCCTAGGCTTAATGGTGAAATCATGTGGCAGTCATTTATAAAATCCCCTTATTTTAGTGTATATTATAAGGATTTTTCTTAATTGGTGTGCTAGTTCCATTTCAGTGTCCATTGATGGCACTGCATCATGAATCGTGGCTATATATTGTCAATTGGAAATTAGATTGATCACAAAAACTTGATATGGTATTATGATTTTCAGTCCCCCTGTATTGTAACTAAACAAGTTTATTGGGGTTCATCAATGTGCCTTCATGCTTGAATGCTTGTTTGCAACATGTATTATCTTGGTTGATTACTTTTAATCACTAACTGTGGATGATCACTTTACTATTTCAGAAGTACAAGACTGCTGGACATGACACCATTGTCTTGGCTGGAGCCGAGTATGGAAGTGGAAGCTCCAGAGATTGGGCTGCCAAGGGTCCAATGCTATTGGTGAGTTTTCTAGCTCTATTTGATTAAATCTGCAGCTGTACCTGTTGCTTTCATTTTAATTTTGGGTTTTCTTTGCGTTTCTACTTTTTTCTGATGAGCTACTATTCTTTTTTCTCTCTCTTTTTACCCTTCTTACAGGGAGTTAAAGCGGTGATTGCTAAAAGTTTTGAGAGAATTCACCGCAGTAATTTGGTGGGAATGGGAATTATTCCACTTTGTTTCAAGGCTGGTCAGGATGCAGATACACTAGGGTTGACTGGTCATGAGCGGTACACCATTGACCTTCCAAGCAATATCAGTGACATAAGGCCTGGCCAAGATGTAACCGTCACAACAGATAATGGAAAATCTTTCACCTGCACAGTTCGCTTTGATACTGAGGTATTTATTTTCAAAATCAATAAATCTTGTTGCATTTCATTGACGTATGTGAGCGCATTGTTGATTAGGGGAATGGTTCCTATTGCTGGGAACACCATGTTATAACTACTTGAAGCTACAAAACTCTATCTGGTTTGGACGTCCATAGCCACTAATGTCAATAGTGTCAATGTTAAACTTTAGGACTTATGCGCATCACTAGAGAAAATAATTAGATATACACGGGTAGCATGTCCTTTGGATCAGATAAGATTCTTGCTTTACATAATTGAGCTGGCTATCTTTTGTTTCTATAATAAACATCCATTGATTTGGACCAGTATGAGGTTGCCTTTATCCAGTTCATTATATAGATAAATGACTTAAATTGAAATTGCAGGTGGAATTGGCTTATTTCAACCATGGAGGCATTCTTCCATATGTTATCCGCAACCTGATGAAAGAGTGAAGATCTTTCTTTCAATCGTAAAATGTGAGAAGGGAATAAAGTTTTCAATAATAGGAGAGAAGAAAATCCCTTTTTGATGGGGCAGGCATTTTTTTTAGCACTTGAGAAAGAATTACCACTATGAATTCTTTTTTTTACTCTGATGGATTACACAAGTTTTTAATGGTATATTCCTGTAAAATTATTTTACTTCCTTTATGAAGAATAATTAACCCATCTGTAAAATTTCAATTCAGTTAGATAAAGTGGAAGAAGCTATGCACTAAATGAATATGTTATGTCCTTAAAGTTTGCAACAATTTTTGTCAACAAGTCATCACCAGTATTACATAAGCTTTCGGATGCAAAATTAATTATCTTGCAGTTTTGTTGAGAAAATAATAGTATTAAAATGTTCGCTTTTGGAATAATAAAAAAATATGTTTTGACAAATTACTCTGTTTAAAAATTATATATCCTTTTTGGTATGTTCTGAAATGATAGGCTCATTTATTTTTGTGGAACCTTTTTCTATTTCCTTTCCTAGAAAACTCATAATAATTCGTATAGATAACTAACAATGGTTGAATTTATTAGAAAGTGGAAAAATTTATAAATAGAAAAATATTTAGGACTGTGATTCATTTACTTAGTATGATAATTTTGAAACGAATTTTCTTTCAGTTTTTCTGCTCCAGTGAATTTTTAACTTTAGTATAAGTTAATCATGTACTTCGGCCACCCTAGTTTCAAAATTTTGATACGTTAAAGCATTAAAATAAAACTTGATCTAGAATTTTAAATAAAATAATATATTTATGAATTTAACCTAGAATTTTTAATAAAGTAAAATATTTATGGGTTCTACCGGGTAAACTTCGGTTAGTTTAACCCAATTTTACATAAAATTCACCATTTTGCTAATGAGCAATGCTATATGGCTTATGCCGAGCTTAACACAGCAATAATTAACAAATATTTCTACGTATAGAATGTCTATGTTGCCTTTTAACATTTTTTTTTTTTTTTTTTTTTTTAACTCCCTATATTTTTACATAAAAAATTCAACGCATTTTGCTTAATGAGCAATGCTGATTGGGCTATTATGCCGAGCTTAATCACAGCAATATATTACACCCAAATATTTTCTAGATTATTAAGTAATGTCTATGTTGCCATCTTTAACACTTCTTTTTTTTTTTTTATTTTTTTTTTTGTGACGTGATTGAAAAATTTGAAATTCTAAAAATTATTCTATCTTCTTGTCTGTTTTTAATAATAGTACAGTGACAGAATCAAAGGCCTTCGCAACATTTAAGGCTTTTTTTTTTTTTTTATTTTTTTTTTTTTTTTTTTTATTGGCTTGCTTTAAACAATCTTTTTTCACCCAACAAAGATTCTCATTTTTTTTTTTTTTTTTTTTTTTTTTTTTTTTTTTTTTATAGCTTGCTTTAAACAATCTTTTCACCCAACAAAAGATTCTCATCTTCTTCCACAGACGCTATTGGGAAGAAGAATTATTATAGTGACATGAATCCACTACAGAAAAAAGCTGAAGTATATGTAGTTTTTCACGGAATTGAAACTGGGTTTTCGATTCTTGGCCAGAGTGCGTGTCTCGAGCCTTAGGCGTCAGCAATGGCTTGTACAGATCCAATGAAAGCAAGGACGATGGTGCGAAATTTCGTTATATGCTTTAGCACTTGACCTACAAACAGCTAACCCCCCACCATCACTACCTCTCTCCTTCCAATGTGCAAGAAATCCGAAATCTGAATTCAAACACCCTCTTTCTATCAACCACCACTAAAGTCGACCATCTCTCTTCCTTTCTCTGTGCAAGAAAAACCCAAACTCAGACGCTCTCTCTCTATCAACCAACACCACCACTACCACCATCATATTTCTTCTTCCTTCTCTGAAAAAATAAAAAGAAAAAATCCATAACAATTACGACCTCCACCACCATTTCTCTCCCTCCTTGCAAAAAAAAAAAAAAAAAGCCATGCCTTAAACATTTTATCAATTGAAACAAAATTAATAACTTAGTGTGAAATTATAAAATTATGAAGATGATAAAAAAGTTTATTTTTTGGGGTAAGAATGCAAATCATTATAGATTTATATACAAATTTCAAAACCAAAGTCAAATCAAATACTTGTATAGCAAAATCCACATGGAAAAATCAAGAAATTAAAGTGATAAAGGAGAGGATGTTGGATTTAATTTTCTATTGTGGGCTTAATATGTAAAATAAATACATACAGCAGTCTAATTGTAAAGTCAATTTCAAACGTGGTCTTGATTGTGAATAATTGACTATTCCAGCAGGTCTAATTGTTCTTAAAGTCAATTTCATAACGTGCGTCTTGATGTGCATAATTGAAGCTTTGAAACGCAGTATAACTGATTTAATAGATATTAAGTGTAAGAGCCATTATACTAATTTTCTATTTCCGCTCAGGGACCGAAACTACGCGCCATGCTGTACTAAACGCGGTACAGTTTATATAAAGGTCAGTGGTCCCCAGAGCGAGAAGTTGCCACACTACGATCTTCAGTTTTTACGTTCTTTTCGTACTTTCGCTTTCCGGCTTAATCGATTTCTTTCAATTTCTTCTTCCAGCAAGGGTTGCCAAACGCCTAACTGCTACACAGTCAGATCGTGACGCAACAGAACGGATGTCAGGTACGCAACCTTTTTTATTTTCTTATTCGAATTTGATTTTGTTGAATCTAGTTGGTTTTGCACGCTCTAGGTTATTGTGAATTAGTTTTGTATGATTATATTCATAACAAAGGTGAGAGAATATCAGATGCCTTGTAGGTGCTCATAATGCTAGATTTTCAGATTGATTTCGTTTGTGTGGTTTTTTTTTTTTTGTTTCTAGTACTCTACTGTTTACGGGGTATTGATTGGTTTTTGTGCTTAATAAGTAAAAAAGAAAAAGTATAGGTTATGTGAATTTGATTCGACAATTTTGCTATGGCGTAGTATAGCTTGAGTATAACGCCATAGACGATTTCAGGTAATTATTGAACAAAGTTTGTGTTTATTTCATGGTTGCCGTCGGTTTAACACCTGAAAACCTCCATTGTTGCCGGCGAATTTGTTTTGAAGTTGCAGTTTGGGGATTTGTGATTTCAACACCGGTTTTTGACTCCCTTGGCTGCCGTTCACCGTCCAATGGCGACCAGAGCTTGTCTTCGGTTGGAACTGGTGGTGTTGGCGACGGAAAGGGGCTGGAATGGCAGGTGGAGAGAATCGGCGGCCTGAGTTTCTGGTTTTCTTTGGAGAGAGTCGGCAGCTTGTCTGATCTTTTTTTGGTTTTAAGGTTAGGGATGAAAAATTACGGTTAGGTCCCTGGAAAATTTCGTATTAGGTCCCTAAGTTTCTGTAACTTCAGATTAGGCCCCTAAATTTCTGTAACTTCAGATTAGCCCTAAGTTTCTGTAACTTCAGATTAGGCCCCTAATTTTCTGTAACTTCAGATTAGGCCCCTAAGTTTCTGTAACTTCAGATTAAGCCCCTAATTTTCTGTTCGATTGTTAAACTTCAGATTAGGCCCCTAAGTTTTCCTGTAAAACTTCAGACGATTAGCCGACACCCCCCGTAATTTTTCATGTAAAATAAATCGATTCACGCAGACCTTTAAATTTATCATAAGCTCAATTTCTTTCTCTCCGTCTAGACCCGCATGGACATTTATTTATTACAATAGGACCCCCGAAACTTCTTTATATTCAAAATTCTATTTTAGTCCCTCACTTTTATTTAATTATTAGTTCTCTAATTAGTGGATTAAGGGACTTTTTAGCGACTATTTCATATCTACTACCACTTTACCTGATATATATATATAATATATATTTTTTGGGCCTAAATAAATCTGATTATTAATTATTTAGACAATCAACTTCATTTAATTGCAATTGTTTTTATTCTTTAATTACACAATTAAATGCTCTCTTAATTGTGACTTTGAGACTCTCTCATATTTATGGCAGTGCATAAGTCCTATTGTGTTTATATTTTGTTCAAAATTAAATTGATTTTGTATCAATAAAGATCACCCGCAGTGACCTCACTATGCTTAGAAATTTGACTTTATATTTAGAGTAGAAAATCATTAGAACAGGCTGTATTAGAATTCGGATTGCGGCTCGTTAAATAAAGGGCCAAAGGAAGCGTTGCTATCTGGCTGAGTTTTGAAATACATGGTTTTGGCATAAGTTATTGTTGATAATTGGTTTGATTATTTTCACCATGGACAATGATATAAAGATCGGGCCCAAGGATAGATTTATTATTTGTCAGACTTATTTTGGATTGCTGCGGGTTTGAGATACTAATACATGTTAATGGAAATCCCAAAGTATGAGAATATTTAATGGACCCGAGTAACTGTTCATGTATTTATTTCCATTTTTATCTTCTACCTTATGTGAATTTGTATTCATCCTTGTGGATTGTTGAGGGCTTATACTATCCTAATTTGTTTATTTTCTCTAGATGTCAGCATAACATGTCATTTAATCTTGATTTGTGTCCCTAAAACTTGGAAGGGATCAAAATATAATTGACAAGTCATTAGAGAATAAGGACATTAATGATTTACTACAATGGGCTAGATTATGGAATTATGGATTCTTAGAACATTACAGGAAATGGAGAACCTGCCTCCTCCTTACCTGATACGAGCACTAATCAGTATCAAAGGTTCAGTATGAGAAGTGGGAGCGTTCTAATCGCTTAGGTTTCTTGTTATGATCATTGCAGAAAGGAGTTCCCAGAACATGGTTGAGACTCTGTTTCTTCAGCTGAGAAAGGGACAATCTGCTTCAAAAAACTATCTTTGCGGTTGAAGGGCTGTATGTCAAGAGATGACAATAGCCGGCGAAGTCTGGTGAACATCTTTTAGGAGAAATTTAATCTTCCATTGAGTTGATGTGGGCCTTAATTCGGTTGAGTGTGTTCGGGAGCATATTTCTTGGATATGGTCTCAGATTGCAAGAGACTGAAGAGCGGTCTGGGGATGGGCTTTACTCAGATGACCTTTTTAGTCCATTTGGTTAGATTCTCTTCTTTCTCAGTATGAACAAATTAGGACTTCCATATTAATTGTCGGCCGAATAAATGGACCTCTTATACTCTCATTGTGAATGGACTCTTAACGAGCTCATTTCTCATTGTGTTGATGAGGAGGAAAAGATGAATTCTAACAAAAGAGAGAGTGCTCATTTTGTTTCTTCAGCTGAGAAGGGCAAGAACAAGAAAAGAAAGAGGCCTTCTGCAAAGACTGTTGAAAAGGCTATTGA